AAAAAAAAAAAGAAAAAATAAGTTGACAATAAGGACGGCAAACGCTCCAGACACTAAATCGAAACGAAAGTAAGCAAATAAAAACAACTTTAAGCAAAAAAGTGGTAATGGAATCAACCTCGATGGACATATCCTTGATGAGGAACTTGTGCAACTTGAGAATTGGCTTCTTGACAGCCTTTGCGCCTCCCTTTGGATCTTGATTCTCTTTATTCTCATCGTCTTGCCAGACGCTAAAGCTACTCACGCAGTTGCCCAGCTTCTTTAAGGGTACCTAAACAATACAAAAATATTTGCTGAAAAAAAGAGGCCTATAGTGCCAACATGGTCACGAAGCCTACAAAAGATTGGTTACGATTCTAGAGCAATGGCACAAAACTTCGCAGAAGGGCCATACATGTTTAGCGGAAGAGAGTGACAGATGACGATCGGTTTTCAAGTGCCACAATTAGAACAAAGTGAAAAGGGATTGGTATTTTTAAACTAATCAAATCCTGTGAAATTCCTATTTCACGTCTATGAACTTCTAGTCTAATAGATTCCTAGAACTAGGGGTTATGTAGCCTAATCCTCTTCAAGCTTGCTGTGCATTTAAAACGTGTTCCTATGCATCCGCGACCATGAGGTATAATCATTTTATTCGATTAATGCTTTGGCATTGGCGTTTTCAACTGGAAGGTAGAGGATAAAGGCGTCACAACCTCCAAACCACTTCATATTAGCGGGAATGGAAATGGGAACCGTGTTCGGAGATTGGCATTACGTGATACTCATCGTTAAGTTTCCAGGCTTCAAAGAAGGCTACAAGACAGAATGCAAAGTCAAAATCCACAGTCTAAGTCATCAAACCGTCACGGTGGCCGCATGGACCCATGAACTAGTGCAGTAACATCTACATCATCGGAGATCAAACGTGAACCTTACTGACCAGCCACGGGGCACAACATGAGCTTAGAAGGAATTCGAAGTGGTAATGGACAGCTCGAAGGTAGTCGAAAATCCGAGTTACCTTGCTCGCCTTCCATTTTTCTGCGTCATGGTCGTTAAGCGAGAAACGTTCAATATGATTGTCCATTTCAAAAATTTCTTCCAAATAATTGTCAGCACCATCTCCATCATCCTCAAAAACCTGAAAAAAAAATGGAAATTTTTGATTAAAAAAAAAGATTTTCTTGATATTGAAACAGACCCTCCCGTTGCGCTTATAATGATTACTTCCAACTAGGTCTTCAACACAATTAGGTATCCTACCTGGAATGCCGGCACTCCATTGTTTACTGGTTTCTGTTTCGTTTGGCCTCTATCCAATTTGCTGCTACCTTGTTCACCAACAATGCAAGGGAGACGAACTACTGGAGCTTCTGATGAGTCTCCAAGAGCTGAAAACGTTCATTTTGATATCTACCTCAAAACAAATAAAAAGAAAGTTGAAAACTGAATAGGAACTCTGATAAGAACGGTTCGCTGCCGCTATCATCACATGAAAGGAGTAGAGAGTATGGACGTAAGACGCTTTGCCTCACTTAGCAACCAGCTGTCTGACCTGTCAGAGAAAATGACCCATGTCAAATCTGCCGGAAATATGAAATGTAAATAAGCAGTGAATAATAAGCAATAAATAAATAAAATAATACACAATATATCTACCATTGATGGCGCTGAAAAGGAATGAGGAGAAAATGAAAACATGAGAAATTTCAACCAGTAAATCAGCGGCAGTGCATTCACGCACTATGGAATACCTATGAATAGAAAGTATTTGCAACATTTAATGTGTAAACAATGCATTCAAAAAACGAATCATCTGCCTTGCAATGAGAAAACAAATCCAAAATTTGTCTTCCTTTCAACTGCAATTCTACGAATCACATCAAGTGCTCCACCGTCAGCAACCTCTTCTTGTAAAAACATTTCTTTGAACATTTTAGCCCAGTATCCCCAGAAGTTTGATAAGAGTTTATCTATGCCAAATTCGATTAACACATTGCCACGCATTATCTCCCGCAGTAAGTAGAGAAACGACACGTACGACGTATGACTTCGTGATCAGGTGGCCGAGTGGTTAAGGCGATGGACTGCTAATCCATTGGGGTTTCCCCGCGTGAGTTCGAATCTCATCCTGATCGTACGTTTTGCAAATACATTTTCGTAGATGAAATTTATATTTGAACATATTCGCTTCGCGAAAGAGTGATTTAAAGAAAAATTGAGCAATTCTTTCACCGAATCAGCTTATCATAGCCACACTCATTGCAAAATTTCGACAGACGCCTACTCAATCCCAAAGAATTTGTGGGGAAAAAGTCTGTCAGCAAGAGGGAAAATGGGTAGGACGAACAAATAATATGCCGGTATCAACTATCAATCAGACTGAAATTTTTAAAAAGCAATATAAAAGTGGATATTAAAAATTTGCCAAGGCGTTCGAGTGTACTTTTACCAAACGTGTCGCCGAAAACTGTAGAAAATGAATAATTTCAAAACAAATTGTCAAGAAATCTGCCGTGGAGAGATCTGAGCGAGTAGGGAAGCTGGACTAACCCCCTTCCCGAACGTTCACTGCTATATCTCTGTTATTAAACTGAACCTAGCTACCTGTCAGTCTTGTGAACGCCACCCTCTCGCCATTCTCGTCCAAGTGGTTATCATCCCATGAGTCGTCGGCATTCTCCTTTTGTAGATGGCGTCGAACTTCTCGCATTTCCAACTGGTCCTCTGCATCGTCTATTGCTTCCGGCGGTAACGCCCCATTCCGTCTTGCACGACGGAGTACAGCTCTCGCATCTGCTATCGCACCACGCATCTCCAGATCTTCAGACCAACGAATATATAGTTGCGCACATCTACAACAATAAATTATCGCATAAAATATTAACTGTGGACATTACCGTAAATTTACACGATAAGATTTTATCTTCAATAGATTGGGGCGACACCGAGAACAGGACAATAACAACCACCTCATGAGGCGAGTCGGAAGAAAAGATTACTCCCTACCCTTCAACTCGTTTTCGCCCACAGATTCATACTAAGCCCAACTCAATTGACGGACGGACAGAAAAAGCCCAATTCAAACCCTCAATTACCTTGTGGAAAGGGTATTTCTTAAAGTTAGGCGGGCATTCAGAATAAATTGGATGCCAATTAAATTTCTACAGCGATCCACTCGGTTAGACCGACAATGATCATTCCATAAGTTCAAAACAAACAACTCACTAATACTCAGGAGTTTTGTAGTTCTAACTCGAAAGCCTCCCGGAAAGAATGCCTTAATGCTCGAAAGGACTACGGAGAGATAGAGATCAAAAAACAGATAGAAAAAAAAACAAGATCCAACCCTGGTAATTTTGGAAAAGGATAATCGCAACTTTCAGAACCACTTCACACTTAAGTCCAAGTGCAACTCGGTTCCAGACAAATCACCATCACATTAGTTCCTCAAATCAGGTTCGTACTGGCACCGGCTCGAAAGGAAGCGAAAAAAAGGGATTTTCATAGCAAAAATATCCCAGAGCAGTAGACAGTAGTGCTGTAAGAGCGCAAAGTTCAGTCGAATTAGGACGCGAGTAGGAGGGGGAAAACAGTTTGGAACCCATGCTGCGCTTTTCCAAAAGAACTATCGCTCTAACAACGTCAAAAGCCAACGTCGAAATCGAAATTTCACCTATATCAATAACCTGTCTTCAGATCTAAACCAAGCAACCATGGAAACGTATGCCAACAGCATGAATCTTTTGATACACGGCGAATACTACCAGTACTCATCGAATACTCTTAATCACATGACAAATAAATAGCACAGCTATAATACTCAAAAAATACCTGACTAAAGATCCAATCGTGTTTGCGTGCTGGTAAATTTCCCATCCATGATCAAGACTATTATCGGCTAACTTCTCCCAGATACGCAACATTCTCTCGTCTTCGAGATATTCAGGAGATTTCGCGTATCTAAAATTGAAAAGTTTGGTGGCAAAGAGCCAAATAGAGCTGGATGACTTTCTGAGAACGAGTGGTCCTACTTGTGTACTATTTTCCATAGTAACGAGTAATATAATCGCTGACGTCCATGTGGAAACGTTTGGTCGAACCAAGTGCAGAATTCAAGGCAATGCTTGAGAGGATCTGGTGATGTCTCACATATTTCCATGATTTCATCGAACTTCTGGGTTGCCAACGTCTGGGCTTTGGAGCCGTATGCGCTCAAAGCGAGAGCCTAAAAAGAGGACTGTGTTGTGTTACCTTAAGAAAGAATGAAAAGAGAGAAAAAAGAAAAAATACCTGGTTTATCGCTTCAACACGACGTCCTGTCTTGAGAGGCTTGATATTCTCGCGACACAACTCCCATTCGAATTCTGATGGGGCGGGCTGAGACGATCCTTCTTCGGAATCACCGCCCGACATTGCTAGAAGTGTAAGTAAAGCAAAGTAGCAGAACAAAGACGGATTGGAATACAAGAATGACTCAGAGAACAACGTGATTAAGCAGATGCACATTGACACATGACCCTCCTATTGCAAGGTCGTGTACAAGGCCATGTTACGTTAAAGACCATCAAATTGAGAAGAGATCAACGTCATGAGCTCGAAATGTCCTTCACACATTGGAGAAAGGGAAAGAAAGGAAAGTTGTTCAGAGCAACTTCGAAAAGAATTTTGAGTATTGCATATTATTACTAAATTCTACATAATCTTGGGTTCTGAAGAACATTGATACCCTTATCTCTCGCCACAACTTCACAGAAGGACCAGTACAAGCTACGAGCATAAAGGAGCAATTTGGGGGGGGGGGGGGGGGGTGTGGGGCCAAATCCCATTTTGTACAGGACTGATAGAACTAACGGAAGTACGGAGGTCAAAAAAAGAAGTTTGTATGACAGTCGTACTGATGAGTAGTTTTTTTTGACAACCGCAGACAGTTCACCAGAGGGCTCTGACTTAACGCTGAACTTTGGAGAGCGAGATAGTGAACAAAGACGGGGCCCATATGGTATACGCTCTACACTGGTACTGACAATGACATGGTACACGACTACATTAGTAGGGCCACATGCCCGCCAACCAACAATACCTCCCCAATCATTCTACAGTCCCTTCCTCTCCTCGCGAATCAGCAAATAGAATGAAGCACAATTTCTCATCGATACTGCCCTTTTAGAATGGACGTGGTGTAGTGGCAAATGGCGCACTGCTACATGGCCTTGGTCCGGCGATCAAATACCGAATCGATACTCGCCTAGTCCAACCCAGCCTTCCATGACTCCGGGTCAATGGCATGAGAATGGTCCGAGAGATAAAAAGGACCAGTTCGTACGGTAGTTGCCCACCGCAATTCATTGTATAGACCACATACGCATTTAAAACGCCAAAAAAGGCTACTACAATGCTGGTTGGAAGTCGTACGCATTCAATAACTCCACCACGACTGAATGGAAATCGAATGCGGGGCGCACTCCGGAGATCGGGATTGATTGAAGCCAAAAATTTCAGAGAAAAATGCTTTTTCGCATCCTAATCTAACAATTTAAAAGGGACTATTCATCGTAATCCTACGCCACTGTCAAAATCAGTTTAACGGATCATTTAGCGACTTATGCAGATGCATCACAGAACTCTGAGATCAAAAAGTAAGCGCATAAACAATAAAGACTCTATGTTCCTGAGCAGAACAGGTTTTTAAAGGTGGAACATCCATTACCCTTGATGTTTTGAAAAATTCGCGTATATGAAATATTGGACCCCCTTTTTTCCATCCCCTCTACATTCCATCTTACTCACCCTATACGGGAAGGTACACAAGCAGTAAATATTTTTCATGATAGCTAGCGAATTCTGTGAAAGGAAGGAGAAACAAACATAACTAGATGTGACAGAGTTAGAAAGGCCTTTTGCGACTGTCTTTTGTGCTGCCACTCAAACTAGAGTCAGATGAGACTGATCTGAGAGAATGGGCCAGCATGGAAAGGGTGGATGACACAAAGGGGAGAGGAAACTCCCCGACACACTACCGTGTGTTGGCATGGTGGGAGCAAAGAATGGGTACGATCAAAACAAGGCACGTAAGGAAGGCTTCAATGGGAAGGAAACAAGGGTAGGACTTCAAGAGAGCTCACATAAAAGTTACAAGAGATTACTTATGTTTAAATGAACTTATTACTACCTCACTGCTTCCTATTTGGACTACTTTAATATCTGCTACTGGGCTACATTAGAACAGCGGAGAGGCACTCACTGGGGGTACAGAAGTAAACATACAACCTAAAAGGAACCAAAAATTCAGTTTCTCAGGCGGCATCTAGTAAAACAATGATAAGATGCTCAAATCGGCCTTGAAACTGAGGTAGCCGATTGAAAGCCGTTCCTTGAAATCAGTTCAATGTTCATATACTCAGCTGGAGACTCTTCAGAGTTTCTCATTCATGAGCCAGAGTAAAAACTTGAACAAGGACCCACCACAAGCGTAGGTGCCCCCAAAAGCGGTGCCTCAATCAATATATGGACATTTATAAACAAAACCCCTGGTACAAGAAGGAAATATGGATGCAGCAATCATATTTGAGCTGTAACCATGAAAAAGAAAGGGAATCCGTTGGCGAGATCCGAGTTATAAAAACATTTTTGCTGCTTCTTGATTAAGTAAAAATGAAATCCAGCCAAGAAAACATCGTTCTTCACCTTATTAGGATCATCAGCAAACAAGTTCCATCGCTCAATCGGGTAAATATTCACATGGCTACTTTGATTTATAATAAAAATGGTACACTTCGAGGCGATTTGGGAAACTGAAATAGGCCATAGCAGTTGATCTCGTGTTGGCTGAATAAGCATAATAAAGCTACCAAACTGAGCACATCGGTATAATTTTGAGTAGCTAGCCAAAAAGCCCATGAAAGGATGTTTTTTAGTAGATTTTTACATCAACAATGGAATTCTTTGAAACTGTGATCGCCTCTTCAGCCATACTTTCACGTCTTTTCCAAAAACTTCACATACAGTATGGCCCTTATAATGAAAAGCAAATAAAGCAACATTAATATAAGGGTTGGACGGTCATAAATCTAATAAAGGATCTATAAAGGTTGGATAGGTTGGAATTTTTCAAAGTTGGCATCTCACCCGCCTTGTTGTTCGATTGGCGCATGACTTTGTCGCTAGTCCATCCTATTTTCAGAGTGGCTCTTCTCGAAGAAATTTTCCCGATACCGTTCTTTGTCGAGAATCTAGCGAATCTGTTCTTCTACTTTTTC